CATTTTGTTAAGTTGTCTAGAACAATAATAAAGCAGTCTTTAAAAAATAATAATTTGAACATTCTATAGGCATTTATAGTTATTGATTTACCTTCTTGAAGCAAACAGCCTGATTAGCACAAGAAAAAAAATCTGCCTCTCAGCAATTTGCCTGAAATTGAAACAGCAAGTGACAGCAAGTTTCAATTTCAATTTCAGCAGGGGTGTCTGGATGTTTCAGGGTGAAGGGACTGCCATAGCCTATTGCAGCCTCTGCAAGCCCCATTTTCCCATTTTGCTACAGGAGGTAAATTGCTGGGAGGCAGAGGCCAAAAGGTGGGGACCGGCGGGTGGGCAGGACTACATTCTGTGTATAAGAGCACCCAAATTTTCACCCTCTTTTAGGGGGGAAATGTGCGTCTTATACTCCAAAAATACAATAAGAAAAAAACCTGCCACCTTAAAAGTGCTAACATAACCTCATAAAATGCTAATAATGGAGCCTGAAATTTGAGATAACAGGGCCACCCTGTTTCCTAGTGCCTGTGACCCACAACAAAGCCTGTTTGTTGGAAAAGAAAAGCCAGTTGTTCATGTCAAATACAGGTAGTCCACAACTTAGTACCACAATTGAGCCTGCAATTTTATGTTAAGTGAGAAATTTGTAACGGGTTTTGCCCTGAATTTTGAACATGTGACCATGGAGATGCTGCAACGGTCATAAGTGTGAAAAATGGTTAGAAGTCAGTCCCGTTATAACTTTGAATGGTCACTAAACAAACTTGTAAGTTTGTATATCTACAGCAGGATATATAATATACTATATAACCCTCTGGAGACTCAAATGGAGCAATATTTAAATGGGCAATATATTAAAGAGTTTATACACCACAGTGAATCTTTAAATTGGGACTACAAAGCCTTGATTAAGGTTAAAATGTATGGTATGCATAATTCTTCATACTTCTGCTGACAAGGACTGACTAACGTTGCTGTAAGCATTTGCTTACAGAAATGAGGTGAGATATGAGATTGTCCACTGAAACAACAGAGAAAGTGATACGTTATTAAAACTATAGTTTATAAAGCTGAAGTCATTTCTTTAAACATTTCCTTCCTTGCACATTCTAATTCCTTTTTACTGTTTTTTAAAAACTTTGTATTAGTTCTTATCTTTTTAACTGCCCTGTTCAATAACATTATTACGAAAGTGCTTTAAGGAAAAAGATTTTTCCTTCATGGGCCAAGTCCTCAAAAGCTTCTGTGCTTCACACAGCACGAACAGTAGAGAAAATGTACTAAACTAGTCCTACTAATCATTGCGTTACAAATATCCGGCGCCCCCTGCTTGCAAAAATAACCCTCCCCAAACCCAGAGAACCCCTACATGAACTCTTAATTTCTCCACCTCGAAGTTATTGTTGGGGGGAAAACGCGGGGAAAAAAGCCCTGACGGTCTTTGCAACTCTTCGGCCTAAAAATGTAATCCGCCCCTCCTTTCCGACCAATTGCGCTGCGGCTAGCCCCTCCCCCTTTTTTCTCTTATATATATATTAGATATATATATAAAACGATCTGCGGCATAGCTGTATATATATATATATATATAGCCCCCCCCCCAATTCCCCACCTGAGAATGCAGCGCCGGAGGGTTTCTTTCCTTTCCCCGCCTTTTGCAGCGTTGGGAATCCTACTCCCACCCCCACTTGGGAATCCTACTCCCCACCCCCCATCCGCAATTGGTTTCGCAATGTCTCCTCCCCTCGTTAACTCCCCAAATTTCAGCTCCCGGCCAGAACGTCCTAGGCCCTCCGTCTTAAGCTTGCTAAACGTTGCCCCGGAGCGATCTCCCTTCATTCCTGTCTTCCCCGCGAATACTTCTGACCGCATTTGGAACAATTTAAATCCCGTCCCGTCCCCCAAAGAAGTCATAGCCTTGTTGAAGTAGAGGGGGGGGGGGGAAGCAAAGACAAAATCTTTGTTGGCAATACTTTCTGTGGGGTGGTCAACACCTGGAATGCACACTACCTGATTCTGTGGTTTCATCCCCCTCCCATAACTTCAACCTCACTACCTTGGACCTCACCCCATTCCTAAGAGGTCTGTAAAGCGGATGTGCATGTGCCTAATTGTCCCTGCCCTACTGTCCCCACTTAATTTGTATCCATTTCCTGTATTTATAATCATGTTTATACTTATCTCTTATACATGCTTGACAAAATAAAACAAATAAATAAACAACACATTAACACACACGAACAAAATCTAAGAACTGGCAAACTTGAGGTTCCTTTAGGAAGTCAAATGAAAGCATCCCAGACAGATGGCCATTTAAACTCTGTATTGACCTTCTCGGAAAGGCAGTTTGGTAGTTGAGATACCTGGATAGAAATGGGGATTCAGGCCAGCTGGGTGGCCTTGGGCTAGTCCCTCTCCCCTCAGCCCTAGGAAGACAACAAAAAGAAGGCAAGGGCAAATCACGTTCAAAATCTTGCCAGGAAAGCTGCAAACTGTCGACATTTGAATTTAATAGTGAACTCAGATATAGCATCAGTGTGACAGAAACCAAACAGACCTGTTGACAAACACCAGAAAATGAAAAATTGGTTGACAACATGGTTTATTACACAAATCTACAAAAGTTTAATGAATGTGATGGGAGAGAAAACATCTCCATCTACTTCATATGCATCCAGCACTAACAACAACAACAACAACAAAGATTGCTGTACAAAAAAAGAAAAATGACCGAGGTATCAAATTAATTTAACATTAAACATACAGAATTCTCCTCCCCTTTACATAGCAGGTCTACAAACAGTTATAAGCTTTCCCATTCCTATTTAACAAGAATACTATATTAAATAAACAAATATTTAGTATTTGAGGGCATTTTTTTATCTTAAATCACATTGACTCACTATCTAATCATAATATAGACCAGTGGTAGTCAACCTGATCCCTACCGCCCACTAGTGGGCGTTCCAGTTTTCATGGTGGGCGGTAGGGNACATCCCAAATTCCTCTCCTCAAAACCAGGAAAAGTACTGTAATTTTTGGAGTATAAGATGCACTGGAGTATAAGACGCACCAAGGTTTTGAAGAAGCAAATTAAAAAAAAAGTTTTTGCACTCTGCAAACCTCCCCAAAACAGCCCATTTTTTGCAAAAACGGGCCCTCTTTTTCAAAAAAAAAAGGCACAGATAACCTTTAGGAGGCTTGTAGAGTACTCCTGGGGGAGGGCAAAAATGGGCCCATTTTTTGTCAAAAAAGGGCATGAATAGCCTTTAGGAGGCTTTTAGAATGCTCCTGGGGCATGTGGGTGCAAAATTGAGCAAAAAACAGCCTGTTTTTTGCTCATTTCTGCCCTCCCCAGCCCCCAGGAGCTCTCTGAAAGCCTCCATAAGGCTATGCACAGCCATTTTGGTGAAGGGGCGGGGATTTGGGAGGCAAAAAATGCTGCATTCAATGTATAAAAAGCACCCAGATTTTCACCCTCTTTTTTGAGGGAAAAGGGTGCGTCTTATACTCCGAAAAATACGATAAGTAAAATAAAATCCTGATTTTTATATAGGGTGGCCCAGCTTCACCCATTTTGTTTCATTACTTCCCCTCCAAGATTACAAAGGATCCCAGGCATGTGTCTACCTTGGTTTTTACCAGCATTCCACGCATATTCTGCATCAGAGCTTCTCAAAGATGTACTTGTGGTCTCAGAAGTGAAGCAATGACAACCATCAGGAACTTCAACAAATATCGAAAGGCAAAAGACAAAAGTTATGGTCTAGTTTTGCTATGGAGAATATGCTGCCCCCACCCCCACCCCCAATACCCAACCAGGGTTCCCTCTTTCTCAGACAAAACAATTTAAATAAATATTTTAAGTAGCTGAAATCTCACAAAATCCCCAAATCTTGCACAGACAGAACTTAAGGTGACTTGGAAAAAACAGCTCATATGAGTTGACCATCTTGCAAGATTTCAGGCGATTATATTAGGGGGTGGTCTCCATGTCATAGGACAAAACCGAACTTAGATCTGGGTGGTTGTTTTTTTTACTGCTTTTGAGGTGCACATTGGAAAGCTTCCTTGTTTTTGCACAAGGAGGTTTGTATATTGCTGAATTCTATCTGAAACTGACACTCCACACAGAATCCAGGTTGTGAAAATCTTTGATTTACTCAATGAGCCTCTTAAAGCTTAGAAGATCATCTGGAAGAGTCCTCTCAGATGCTCTTCCTGGTTCATCAGCTTTTGAGTATTTCCTCCCAATACAGTTCTTGCCATAAGAACGAAGGATGACTGAAGAAAACAATCCTATGGGTAACCAATTATCTTACTAGTTTTCCCCAATTCCAGTTTGAATCCTGTCATCTCACAGCTTCAACCTCCAACTATCTATCATGGACCTCACCCCATTCCTAAAAGGTCCCTAAAGGGGGTGTGCATAAGCACACCAGCGTGCCTACCAGCCCTGTCCTACTGCCCTCATTTATTCATACCCATTTCTTTATGTTTATACTTATACCCGCTATCCTGTATAGTTTGACAAACTAATAAATAAATAAATTCAGATCAAAACTTTTCCCCAAGTCTGCTTTTTCAATTCATGTCTGCCTTACTTTTTGTGATTCCTCCATTTACTATAGAAACCAATGTTTTTAGCCATATAATCAATGAGAGTTTCTCCTCTGATTTCATCAGTACCCTGGGACTTTTCTCCTGCTTCCTGTAGTTCTCAGGTACCATATTTTTCGGACTATAAGATGCACCAGTGTATAAGATGCACCAAGATTCCAAAGAGGTAAGAAAGAAAAAAAGTTTTTGTCTTCCCCAGCTCCCAGGAGCAATTTGCAGGCTTCCACAGGGCTGGGGGAAGGCAAAAACGCTGTTTTTGCAGAAAATGGCTTTTTTCCCACAAAAATGGGGGCATTTTTCCCTTCCCCCAGCCCTGCTGAAGCTTGCAGAGTGTTTCTGGGTGGGGGGAGGCAAAAACGCCTCCGTTTTTGCAAAAAATGACTACTTTTCGCAAAAATGGGATGCTCGGGCAGGGCTTCAGGAGGCCAAAAATGGCTGTATTTGGTGTATAAGACGCAACAACATTTCCACACTCTTTTTTGGGGGGGAGGTTTGTCTTATACTCTGACAAATATGGTAAATATAGGAAAGATCTGAATACCTCACCTTTAATTATTCCTGGCATCTTCCAAGCTTTCTGAGTTACAAAAAAGAAAAGAAAAAGAAAATCAGGGTTCAGACTGCATGGAAAGAAAATAATTCGGTATTACTCATTCCTGCACAGGAGTTTTTTCATTCATATATTAATAAAGATAGATAGATAGATAGATAGATAGATAGATAGATAGATAGATAGATAGATAGATAGATAGA